TAGCCTTACCATCGTGAAAAAATCACAGAAATGGGAAATTTTTTCAAAATCTGAGCAAATTTTTTTTCAAAAAATGTATTTAAAAAACTTTCACAAAAAATATTTCTATAGAAATTTATTAAAAATATTTTTCTAAAAATTTACCAAAAAAGATTTTTTTCTATAAAATTTTCTAAAAATCTTTAAAATGAAATATACAGAAAAAATTTAAAAAAATTATACATTTTATATAAATATTTTTAAAAAAACATTTTTCCTTACAAATGTTTCCCAAAACATTATACAATTTTTTTTTTCTACAAATGATTTCAAAAAATTTTTATAAAAAATTTTCAAAAAAAAATATTTTTAAAAACATTTTTCAATAACTTTTTTTGGAAAAGTTTTTTTTTTTTTAAAGTTTTTGAAAAAAATGATACAAAAAAATTTCCAAAAAAAAATTATACAAAAAAATTTGAAAAAAAAAATTATACAAAAAAATTTGAAAAAACAATTATACAAAAAATGTTTTTTCTATAAATTAAAGAAAGTATTTATAAATTTTTCAAAAAAATGTTTTTTTTCCAAATGTTTTAAAAAACATTTTTTTCTAAAAATGTTTTCAAAATGCTATTTTTTATGAGAAACGTAAAAAGATAAAACATTTTTAACAAAGATTTTTGTCAAAATGTCTTAGTTTATGAACAAAAATGACACAAAACGTTCACATATTGACATAAAATAGTATACAAAAAAAATACAAAAAACATCAGTCCCTTCAAAGTATCTCAATATCTGCAGCTGTGCTTCTGTTAAAATAATGGATCCTGTGTTGCTTAAATACTGAGCTAAAAAAACATCTTTGCTCTTTGCCAACAGGAAGCTGTTGTCTAGTGACTCACCTCTCCCTAATAAAACCACCTTGGACACAACCTAGTGTAAATCACAGTTCTAACGCAACTGTCAGGTGATTGGCTGTGGGCTGTTGTCTGTTAAGTGATTCGCTGAGCTTTTTTTGGTCCTGCTATATAAAACAAACTGCTGAGTGTTTGTTTGGTCTGTTTTTTTTTTCCTACAGAGACAGAGATGGTGTTAGTGCTGCCATCCTTCTGCAGGTCAGGGACATGTCAAAGGTCAAAGAACACGAAGGTTTACACTTTCAGGATGTAAAATAAAATATAACCCCAAAATGGGGTACTGGCTACTGACGAATATCATGTAATTAATTAAAGTGTTTCTCATTAAACTCAAACTCAAGTTTAATGACAAAAAAAAACAAAAACACATGAAACAAAGACTTTTTTTTTTTTTTACTCAAACATGTTTATTGTCATTGACAGGACCCTTATACACACACACACACACACACTGATACAGGTCATGCTTGTGTTGAGTTTAATGTGAACCAGATTTAATTTCCTCCAATCACCACAACAACAAATGAGTTAGTGACATGTTTTACAGCCATTTTACACCGAGTGACAGAATAATCTGAGGATTAGGATTAGGATTCAAATTAGGGTCAGATTAGAATCAGGGTGAAGATTAAGATTGAGACATTTGTAATAGTTACGGTTGTGGTATGTGTCAGGTGTGTGTGTGTGTGTGTGTGTGTGTACCCTCTCTAAAGCTGCTTCTGCTTTTAAGGAGAAAAAAAAAAGAAAAAGCCGAGTCCCCGTTCGTCTCCCTCCTGGTTCTACGCTCACATCTTTGCTGACGCTTCTTTTCTCATGCTCAAAGGTTAAATGTTGGTTGAAAAGTTTCCACTTCCACTTTTTGATTAAATCCTTTTTTTTCTTCATCTTTTTTTATAATGTCTCTTTAGATGATTTTTTTTTTTTTAAGATTTTGATCAATGCTGGATTTTTCTTTTTTTTAATTCCTTTTACATTTGGTTTGAACTGGATCTTTTAGAGCAACTTTCAAACATGAGGTCTGGAGGGAAGAACAGCCGCAGTTTGGACAAAAGAGCTTAAAAAAAGTTGCTTTTTTTAAAAATAGTTTTACTTCATATTTGATGACAAATTTAAATGAAATATTTTTTTACAACCTGTACTTATATTAATGAGATATTTGTCTGTGCAAATACTACATTTAAAAGCGGAGAAATAGTTGCTCTGAGACTAAACCATAGTAGAACTCATGATTCTAAAATGTAATGTTTTGTTTTTTTAGTGATTTTTTTTATAACTTTTCTTTATTTTACTTATAGATAGAATAAAATAGAGCAAAAAAAAATTAAACAAAGAACTGAATGTTTCAAACAGATAAATGGAAATAATTCAAAAAGAGAAAATATTCATTTGTGATTATTTTCCTGATTCCTGACTGACTTTTGATTTTTTTTTTTGTTGTTGTTGAATAATGGGAAAACAAACACGTTCCATTTTTAACTAATTTCTCTTTTTCTTTTTTTAGTTCCCCCTGTCTGCGACATGTGGTCACTACACAGGAACACGTCTTCAGATTTGAACCTACACCCGTGAACTGTGAGAAATGTGAGTAAAGAACAGATTGTTCCACTCCAGACTTTTGATCACACTCACGGCTGCAGTGTGGGAATCTGTGAGTGTGTGTGTGAGTGTGTGTGTGTGTCACCTGTAGGAGTCGGCGTTATCTTGCAGAGGGCAGGTCGGGGTCAAAAACTGGAGATGATTGGTGTGTACGAGGAGAAATCTAAAAAAAAAATTCTAAGACAAATTTAACAACAAAATAACAAAAACATTTCTCTTCATCTCCACTGGAGGTCAAACCTCTGACCCCAGGTCACGACCTTTGTCTTTGTCAGGTCCAGAGACTGAAGTCTGATTTCAAAATGGCTGATTTCAAATTCAGACACCTGTCTTCATATATTTTTTATAAATCAAACATCAAATATATATTTATATATAATTTTAATTTAAAAATCTTAGAACTTTTTGACTAACGACCACAAACTCATTATTTCTGGTCAATTTATGAAAACACAAATGAAAGGGATTTGTTTATCACATTTAGGTGGGGGTGTGTTGCTGAGAGTGTGTGTTTAGATAAAGTCAGACATGCCTGGGCGTATTCCCAGTCGAGGCCGCAGGCTGAGAAAAGACTGACGCACGAGGGAGGTCTACGTTCACCGGGCAGACGATAAAAGAACCTGAAGAGGAGAAAAAAAAAAAAAAGAACTGTTAGCATTAAATCAACATCAAAGACATTAATTAAACATGTTAATGAAGTACAACAATTCAAATACATCTGAACCAAGGTTGTCAAAGTCATCTTGGTTCAGGGGCCCCCTACAGTCTGATTATATCATAACATCATTACCTAGAAATAACATTGTTGTTTTTTCTCCTTTGTTTCTTTTTTTTATGCAAAATTACCTAGAAATAACATTGTTGTTTTTATGCAAGTGTTTCTTTTTTTTATGCAAATACAAGTTTTCTGAGAAAATATTTATAGTTAATAAAATTGAATTTGACAAAACATAACTTTTATGAAATTTTGTGCTTTTCTTTCACTTTCAAAATTAGTTAATAAAATTTAATTTGACAAAACATAACTTTTATGAAATTTTGTGCTTTTCTTTCACTTTCAAAATTCATAAACTGGGCCAGATTGAACAACACCAGCGGGCCAGTTTTGGCCCACAGGCCATTTGTTTGACACCCCTGATCTAAACAAACAAAGTTCAAGTCCGAGTCTGGTTTGTTGTTTGTTGTTTGTTGTTCAGGTTTGATGTAACCAGAAACGTGTTCATGGTCGCTGACAGCAGCGTGTTCAAGCCGTGGCTCAGCTGCTGCAGGACGGCCCGTCTGACTAACCAGCAGGGGGCAGTGACGGTGGAATTACCTGCAGTTGTCAGGGTTGAATCCAGGTCAGTGCTGATGGTCTGGTCCGTGACAAAGACCTGCGGAGACGTGAAGAGTTAACGGCTCAGTACCACGACTGCCCCCGGTGACCAAACTTTTTAAAGTCTTAAAATTTAAAATCATTTGGTAAAAACAGCAGAGAGTCGCTCAGTGAAACACGGCTTGTTAAATATGAATACATTTCCATAAATGTGTAATTAACTTTTAATTATTCATGTCAAGAACTGGGGTCGAATCAGGACAGACTTCAAAGTCACACTCTGTGTTTTTACTCTTTTTTCTGAACAAAAAAATAAATTAATTAATAACGGCAAATGGAATAATGGAGTATAAAAATTGAAAAAAAATAAAAGAAGATTAAAATGATAGTTTATGAAGATAAAATACATTTGATGACTAATGTGAAAGATATCGTCACATGTTCACAATTTTTAAAAAAAGTTAAATTTATCATTTAATTATCATTTTCAAAAAACTCAATATATCGCCGTGACTACAGTATTTCAGTGTGTTGCAATAAATCGAATTGTTGGCCGTGTATCGTGATAAATATCGATATAATAAATAGCCGATAATAATAATAATAATTTTAAACATTTTTTTTAACTGCATCAGTTTTTTAACTAACCTTTGGAAACGTTTTCTTCCAAAACAGAACTGACGATCAGGGGACGATCAGGGGACGACTCTGGTTGGACAGTTTTCAGAGCAGCCTCTCCTGCATCTCTCCGACTCTGCTCTCATCTACAGGAAGTCGTCAACAGAGGAGCCGCCCTTTCATCACTTCCTGTCGTCAGGCAGAGTCTAAATCACCTGACGATGACGTCACGGCCTCAGGTTGAATCCTGGACACGTTTCCTGGTGGAAATAAAAGGAGAAAAAAAACAACAATTTGGACTAACTTGAGTTTGTAGACTAACTGCTCAGGTTTGTAAAGAAATCGATAAAAAAGTTCAGAAAATACTTTTTATAAACAAATTCAAAACTTGACAGAGAAACTCGTCTGTTTTCTGTTTGGACCTAAAACCTCAACCAACGTCAGTCATTTCCCCTTTTTATTTTACGACGCAGAAACTATTTCATCTCTTTTATGTTTTAACTTTTTCACTTGATCTTTTTATTTATTTATTTATTTTTCTTCGTTCTCACTGCTGTAAGGACATCAGTGGAAAAGATCAAAGGCGTGAACAGAAGTTTCTTTTCTTTTTTTTTACCAAGTGATGTTCAGTTAAGATCAAACACCAAGGAAACATAGAGTCCAGGAAAAAGGCAACCCCCCCTCACCCCCCCCCCGTGGACAGTATGATTAAACGCTGTGATTAAAGGCCTTTGTCAGTGAAAGTGAGGAGATGAATTTCCCTCCATTTATATCCCAGCACCTGACCGTCAGCTGCGATGATGAGGTTTTTAATCATCCTGTCGAGACCTTTTTAACCGAACCACTAAACAGAACAGACCACCGCAGAACAGACCACCACAGAACAGACCACCGCAGCACAGACCCTGGATAAAAAAGAAATCGGACGCAGGTTCTCAGATGCCGAGCAAACCGACGTTATGAGGATGTGAGAAGTGAAAGAAGACGACAGAACCTGAGGAGACACAGGAGCCAGTCATGAACATGTGAGTACAGTCAGACCACGGACTGGATTATCTGAATCTGGATTATTAAAATTAGCATTTTGGCAGTGCGTTACAGCCTCCAAAATATCACGCTGCTGACGCAAGTTCCCGATTTATCAAAAATATACGACAAGAGGAGAGTCGTTCATCCACACTACTACATCACCCTTCAACTCCAACCAAGAGGCAGTCTGTGTTGGCAGCCAACAGTCGTTTCCGACTGACAGACACCATCGTCTGACGCTCTACATCGCTCGAAGCTGGAGCCACACGGCGACGGTAAACTACGCAGAAACGCCAGGTTATCGTAGCAGCAAAGCTGTGACCATCATGCAAACATCACTCTGCCACCATGTGGCCACAACCTAGAATATTGGATCACAAAATACTTGTAAACAACAAGAAGTAAATGCAGAAATAAAAAAATAACTTTTTTGAGGGTGAGGGCTGGTCAAAATTTTTTGGATCGAACATCGGAAAAAAACAACTATAGCCATCACATCCGACACCAAAGCCCAGTTGCTCAACTCAATTTTGCGCAACATGCCGACAGCCACGTCAGCCGGAAACAAGCTGAAGGAGAACAGAAGGTATGGAGTTGAAATCAGCGTCAGCAGATACTGTTAGATGAGGGACCAGACGAGAACTGAGGTCAAGTCTTGTACAGTGATATTCAAACTACAGTAATATTGTAGGTGGTGTAGCTAACGGCTAGTCATTTAAAAAAGTCCGTCTGACACAATTCAAAAACCACACAGCGGAAGAAAACCCTGGTTCTGCATCAGTTGACAGCTTTAGAAAAACCATTGTGAAAACTGGAAATGATCAGAATCACAGGCGTCGGTCGTTCACACCTGGAATTTGATCCAGAACGACGACGACGACGACGACGCTGCTACAGCTGATCGACATTACCGTGGTGGCAACAGGCCCGGCCGTGCTGCGGAGGTTCCTTCACCAGCTGTTGACCAGGGAATTGGTCCAGGACTTTGTCCAGGCTGCGTCGGCTGCAGGAACAGAAGAAAGAAGTGATTTCATCAGAAAGATTTACAGGAAAACAAAAAGATAAAAACCGAACTCTTCAGTGAGTGAGGTTTGATTGATTTTGTTATTACAGCTACAACAAAATGTAACTCTGACTCAGGAGCAGTGAACAACCCTCCACCCACACACACACACACACACACACACACACTCTGCCCTGGCTGGGCCTCAGACCAGTAACGACAGAAAGCCACCACTACACCACAAAAGGCAACGTTTTTAGGCTTTTAGGCTCAACCAAAAACAGCCTCAAAAGTAGCCTTAAGATCTGGAGGGTAGCCCAGCGTTAGCCACGAGAGAAAGTTGAACTGATGTTTCCTTAAAATGGTTAAATTGTTCTCGCAGAAATAGCATGAAGTTAGCCAAAGAAGCTAATGAGTAGCTAAACATTCATTTTATAGACGATAAAAACAAACAATTTCACAAAAAGTAAGGATACTTTAAGACTCTAAAGATTATATATAGTGAATATTTTACTTTGGATACAGAAAAAAAAATACTCCTCCAAAAAAATATATAAACTCCTGTATAAAAAACTGTTGGTTTTGTTTTGTACAGGACAACATAAAGCAAAGATTCAAGTAGGAAAAAAAACTTTGTTTTTGTTTTGTACAGGACAACATAAAGCAAAGATTCAAGTAGGAAAAACAACTAGTGTGTGGTGATACACATGCACTGTGTGGTGATACACATGTACTGTGTGTACATGTACAACAAAGCTAACAAATGCACTCGCTAACATTTGTCTGTCGTGTCGGTTGTTGGCGCTGCACTCTCCCACAACCGACACCCGCACAGATACGGCGTAGCTGGCGCGTCATCATCAGAGCTCTCTTTGATCATCAACGTCTGACCTGAAACGCAGCTTCAAAATTGAGCGTCGCCCAAACTTCCCTCTTTGATGTTTTGATGACCATTCTGAGTGACGCCGCTCCACTTTCAGGTGACTCATCTGGATGCCCTTCTTTGTGAAGGTTAATGTTGTCTTATGTGTTAACCACTGAGAGCCGCTGGATGACTACGCACTGTTTCACAATTTAAAGGGTGGAGGTTTACGCTAGTGCCAGAGGCTTTGAAGTCTGACGAGTTCTTCAGCATCGGTAAAAAAAACAAACTTAAATCTGGGTTCAACATAAACGTCCAAATTTGTGCTTTGACAAAAACAGACACAACTTCACTGTCGACGAGTTCTATAAAAAAATTCAACAACTAAACTAAAATGTTTTCTGAAATCACAGCTCTGTTGTTGATTTCTTCATCGTAAAGTCGTCGTCCTGCGTCTTCGTCTTTTGAGGAATCATGGAAATTAATTAAATTATTAACAATTTGTATTATTGATCCCAAACTTGGGAAATTCTAAGTATGTGATTCCTCTGGGAATCGAACCCAGGACTAGCTGCAGTCTGCTTCCGAAGCACCGCGCTAACCGCTACAATATGGAACCACTTCCTGTTACAAACTAAGAATATCATGACGGTAATCATTTCTTTTTTTTGTTTGTTTGTTTTTTGACATTTTCTACAAACGACAAAGTTTTTTTTTTTAAATCAAACACTTCTGACAGACACGGTCCGGCAAACCATGACCTCTCTGTGACCTTTCCAGGGTCCATATGCCTTGGTCATGGCAGACCTGAAATCTTCAGGTCTTGATCTTCAAAAGTGTTTTGGTGCGAACACAAACGTCTCTGTCTGAGACGTCGTCCCACACACAGCAAACAGATGCAGCCAGACCGGTGTGTGGGCCGTGTTTTGATTCAACCTGAAACCTGGGCTTTTCTCTCAGGTTCCTCTAAATGTTAGAGACAATTTCAGTGGCAGAAACGACGGTACAATACAAAGGCTGCTAAGGCTAGGCTCAGCCAAACAGCAGCTACAAGGTAGCCTCATATTCTGAAGGTTAGCCTAGCGTCAGAACACAGCAGCAGAGTGACAAACAGTTCAATAAAACTAAGAACAAATTCATGTTTAAAAACGTAGCTTGAAGTTAGCCAAAGATGCTAACAAGAGGCTAAACAATGCCTCTAAGCTATCATTTGATTTGAAGAAGTCACAGTTATTAAACATATATACAATAAAACTGACGTCAACACTACACATCACATGACCCTGACCTCTGACCTTTAACCCTGAGCCTGTTTCCAGTTACAGGTTTTTACTGTGACCTGAGTTTTTTTACCTGCAGCAAATCTGGGAAATTCTGGGTTTAAAATGAAAAGCCACAACAAAAACAACCTGCGCTCGTCATCGTCAGTAGAAATAACAAACACGTGTTGGCATGTAAACAATGAGTCTTTAAGGAGGAAGTGAGAGCTTTTAATGGCTGCTGCTGCTGCTGCTGTTACTGCTGCTGCTGCTGCTGTCGTGGACTCCACAGACAACAGAGTGCAACTGAGACCCGTGGACATTCAGGTTCTGAAGCTGGTCCACGGGTCGACAGCAGCAGAATAAAGACGAGTGTCATCAACCAATCATTGAACTGATTGGTTGAGGTCAAGAATGATATGGGAAAAAAAAACATTAAAAAAGTTTTGTAGTCATAGGAACATTTAACTGGATGTATTTTCACTCTTGTATTTATTTCTGAATATTTCTAATTTCTGACTTTTCACTTTTTCTTCTTTTTGCTTCTTTGTCTTTTCTCTTTTTTCTTTTATACCTTTTTGATGTTTCACATTTGTGCCTGGGCTTCTTTTAACTGTTGATGTTTTGTTTGTTTGTTTATACTTTTTTGATGTTTCACATTTGTGCCTGGGCTTCTTTTAACTGTTGATGTTTGGTTTGTTTGTTTTGTGGGTGGGGGGGGTGGGGTGGGGTTACAGTTTTACCTTTAAATGATCATTTCTCTTTTCCCCTCATTTCGCCTTCATGTCCTCGTGCTCTTAATGCTTTGTAGAAATGAACACAACTTCCCTTTTTGGATGGAGCAGAACTCTGTGGCTGTGTATAAAAATAAATGTAAAGTTAGTAAAAAAATAATAAAAAACAACACTGGTGAGTAAAAATGAAAAAACGCAGAGTAGGACTTTAAATGATTGTGATGTCACAGCCGTCGTTCAGAGCAGTTGATTAGTCAACACTGACTTTTCACATTATTCATCTCATCTGGTCCATGACACAAATACACCACTCAATACAGAGCTCCACATTAAAAAGAACAACGTAAATATATAATTTCATACTAAAGTGAAAATGAAACTATTATTATTATTATACCAGGGCTGAAATGTCACAATATTTACTTTGATACAATATCAATATTCATCCATCACCGTGAGGATCAAATGTAGATCCCTCTGTTCCAGTGTCAGGAACTGATGTTCAGATGGAACAGAGTCTGAGACCAGGATCACACTGGGACTACAGAGACTTTGGGGCGAAAAAAATCAAAAAAAAAAAAATCAATATATCGTAGTGCCTATAGTATCGCAATATATCGTATCGTTGCCCCACGTATCGTGATACGTATCGTATCGCCAGGTTCTTGCCAACAACACACGCCCCCTGTTTTTTTTTTTTTACATTATGGTTAAAAAAGTGACCTGGGAATTCATTTCCAAATTCTCAACTTTTCGTGTCAACCCTGCGACCCTCGTCACCGCGTTATCACTTAAATAATTCCACCAAACATAAATCAAAGCCTCGACCCAGAGTCATTTCTTCACCCTGGAAAAATATATAACAAATACATATTTTTGCCTTCCACCCCGACCCTCTAGGGGGAGCTCCTCACACCTCCCACTCCCCCCCCCCCCCCCCCGCTATAGTTCTAGAGAAACCATCATTTTAGAATTCAGCCAGGACTGAGGGGGGGGGGGGGGGGCCACGACCCGGGCCCCCCCCCCCCCCGACTGAACTCCCAGGAAAATCAAGAGAACGGACAGTAAACGGTCACATGATTCTTCACGTCCACACATGACACAGGTATGTGTATGTGTGTGTGTGTGTGTGTGTGTGTGTGTGTGATGTTTAACTTCTGTCAGGTGACTCTGACACTGTGTCAGATTTGAATGTTTAAATGTCAGCGGTGACAGATGACGAGCAGAAAGAAGAGGGAACAAAGATGCATTCACATGTGACTTCAGATAAATACACACACACACACACACACGTACCGGTGTAAGTGGTTAAACGAGGACAGCCACGTGCAGGAATCAAACACAAACAGCGTGAATGCGTTCACATGAAAATAATGTCATGAATAATGAACGCCCACGGTGGAGTGTGGCTACATCAGCGTGTACATGAAGTACTGGGGCTGGAAGGTAATATCCAGGCAGTGAAATATCACAGTATTGTGTTTCACGACGCCGCGTCGGTATTTGTTTTTATAACAATAACAATAATTAAACACTTTAAAACAAAAGACTAAAAAAACAAACAAAAAAACAAACCAAAAAAAACAAAAACGGCCCAAAAGTCAAAGAAGAAACAGACCATAATAATAAGAAAACAGTGAGAAAACTGGGGGGTGGGTTATTATTTAAATGTATTTTTTTATATGTGGAAGATTCCATCCTGTATTTATCAGTTTAAATATATGTATAAATATATGTGTAAATATATGTAGAAATATATGTATAAATATATATGTGATATTTGGCAGGAAATAAATAAGAAAATAATACATAAATAATAACAAAGAAGAAAGTTGAAGTTAAACACACACACACACACACACACACTCAGTGTGTGTCAGTGAGGTGACTAGTCAACATTGTCAGCGACGCCACCCACAGGCTCGACGACAGCAGCTCACACTGAAACCATCAACATGTTTGTATTTACTTATCGTCTCATTTTAGATCTGAAGATTCCACACACACCATCACACACACACACACACACTGACATTTCATATCTAAAACCCACATCGACAAACACACACACACACACACACCTCATATTATCATTAATACTGTAATTTAAAAAAAACAACAACAACAAAATAAACTGTAATACATATATATACTGTACATATATATGAATATAAATCAATTCCAATATGTACATATATACATATTTATATGTATATGTGTGTATGTATATATATTTATACATATATTTATATCACACATTAAATTAGTTGAGCTCTATAACATTTAACATTTAAGAAAAAATGTTTACTTTTTTAAAAATATATATATTTCATGTTCAAACATCAGTCAGTTATATATTTTTGATATATTTCACATTATATATATATATACAGTATATACATATATACATATATATGCTGGGAAATATTTCAGTGTTTTGTCCAATAGCTCATATTTCATCATTTGAATTTCAAAATTATTAAAATGAGTATGAAATTCAGAGAAGCCTAAATATATATATATACATATATATGACCTTTGGTTCCAAGAAACAAAAAGACCTGCGAGTGCCCGAGTCCTCCATCATATATATTTTCCTCAGATGACAAATATAAATATCAACCAAAGCCAAACAAATCAAAAGTGGAACCTTCAGAACCACCAACCATTAGTCAGACGTAGAATCCACTGAGCCACAGCCGCGTTACCGAGGACCTGCAGACTCATCGTGAAAACACCTGAGTCCTAAAATTTAAAATATGACAAAATATGCCCCGAGTGAGAAAAGGTTTTTTTTTTTTGACAAAATGATGTAAACGGCGATCTGAGTGTAGAGAAGAAGGAGAACTCTGCGTGAGAACAGGATTCTCACTTTGACTGCAGTGAGTAAACACATCGATCGGCGTCTAACCTCGTTTCACCCTCTCATATTTTCTTATTTTTTCCCTCAAAATTGCATTTGTTGTTGCCGCTGCAAAGGTTAAAAGACACTTTTTTTTTCTTTCCAGCCGAAAGTGAGTGGGTTGTCAGAGAACTGAACGTTTCACAAGGCAAATTTCCCCAGATGCTGGGGTGATATTATCACTCCAGAGCATCACAGTTTCACTTTGACTTATGGATATATTTATAAGAAGAAAACAAACCTGACACCAATTAAAACGCAAGACACAGACAGGGCTGAGAACTGGAAGAATTTAGGTTTTTTTTTTTTTTGGTTTTTTTTTTACTCCCCTTGAGACTTGAGGTGTTTCATGTATCTGAAATGATAAATGTCAAATTTCAGAGTTTCAGTTTCTGTGTTTCTGACGTGACACATAACATCACAAATAAAATGAATTTTTTTTTTTTTAATATTTTTAATCTTGGAATGAGTCAGAATCAAACGCGGCTCCTGGACGGCGGAGGTGGAACACAAAGGCGGCGGTTTGTCAGGTGATGTGACTGATGGGAGAAATTCAGAGTTCACCTCGAGGAGAAAAGAACCGTTTGCCTTTATTAACACCACTCCACCCACTGCTCAACAGTTTATATGTCAACTCTAAAATGCCCCCGATCAAAGAGAGCCTGACTCCGATTCAGAGTTTCAGTCTTACTGCGAGTTTTGTTTATTAAAAAGGCAGAGAAACCACACTTTGTGCACACAGCAGTGTCGACAAATAACAGGTACCTGCAGAGTGTCCAACTGTACTGCACCGAGTACTGCACCGAGTACTGCACTGTGACAGAAACAGAGAGCACACCGACGCGGGGGCTCAGTGGAACCGGTGACTGCATGAGTTTGAAAAACATTCTGCCTGAAACCACGTGAAAAAATTAGAGATTATAATTTAGAAAATGCCAAGTTGGACCAAACACAAGTGAAAAGTCAAAATCATGATCATGAGATTTTTGTTTGTGGTTAAATAAAAAATGGATTTATCTAAAAGAAATTCTGCAAAAGGAAAAAAAATAAAACAAAATAAAAATATCAGTAGAAAAAAGGGAGAGATAAAAAAAAAAGAACTGTGATGTGGTTCAAATGTCATCACTGTCAGACACGACTTTAGTCTAAAATTTGACACAAAAAAAAACCCAAAACAAAGTCTGAATAAATATGTAGAGAACAGTTGATAGAAGAGTCTGGAAACTGCAGAACAATTTGGTCAAAAAGCTGCTTCACAGGAGTCAGAAGTTCAACTTCAAACTTTATATGAAATCATTTTAAAGCAGCTTCATGATGATGAGGTCGTGACCTCAGATCAAAGGCTGAGTCAAAGGTCAGACAATGACTGACACAGACACAGAGTTTTTAATGTTCCCCTGAAATGATGTCACGATCATTTCATCCTTCACTGACACAGATCTGAGTCGACTGTCGGCTGAAAAAAATAAAAAAAAGAATAAAAGCTAAATAAACACCTGCTGCGGACCAACGACCGGACCGGGGGCCGCGGGTTTCCACACGTCCTACACATTATAGTTATGTCTCAGCAGCAGTGAGCTCAGCATCGACACCGTGGCTGTCGTATCACTGACACCCGAAGGTGCCACGCACCGGGGCCTGCAACCCACAGCTACAATTTTCTAGCCTCGGCCACAAACGGTACCAACAAAGTCAGAGCAGAAACGAGGAGGACAATTTTTCCCCAGACGACAGAGACGGGGTTTTTCTCCGTGGGACGCAAACAACCCCGGCTGGAGGACGGTCGTCCCCCGCCGATCTGGCTTATTTGAAGAACGGCTGAAGCAGAGAAGACATGACATAATCCAGTCATGCAGAAAAAGTCGAGTGTCGTCAATCAGCCTTGCTGCGTGTGTGTCTTTTTTTGTTGACTATCAAAATTAGTCAGAGGAGAAAAGAAAATGTCGAGGCTGAGCTTTGGTGCGATCAGTGTGTGTGTGTGTGAGTGAGAGAGTGTGTCTGAAAAGTGAAAAGGAAGCTGAGAGGATGAAAGAGCAGTGAGTAGGAGAGCAGCAAATCTGCTTTTCCTCTTTCTCTGACGCTGGTGTTTTCAAGTTGAAACAAGCAAAACGTGTAAAAAGTGGAAATTGAAAGATTAAAAAAAAAAAAGGAGCTGCCACAACTGAGAATCAACAGAAGTCTGAGTTGAACACAAACATATCAGAGGAGCCAATCTTCAG